CGTTTTATATTTATTTAATTTTAAATACTATCGAATATTTTATACAATTTCAAATTATGTACAATATATTATACGCTTTTTGTTATTTTGATTTTTAAAAGCGTGTACTGACAGCATATAATGGAAAACTTTATTAAACGTTATATAAAATGTAAATTTATTAATGTTGATTGCAGCAGTGGTGTTTGAGATAAAGTGCATTTTAAAAAGCAATATGATAGTAAATATTGTTTCAGAAAACCAATGATCATTTTTCAATACACTTTAGGTGCATATTATAATTGAGTATGGATTAATAATAAGAGTATATTTAATAAAAATTTTCTATTATTTATTATTGGAATAATATAGAAAATTTCAAAAAGTTCCATTCACTTAACCACTATATATGTGATGCAATAAAAATGTCAAGAAGATTTCTTGCGTAAAACGGCATTTGCATTATATCACATCATGCAATACAAATTAGTAGTCGAGCACACATTAAAGTAGCATAACCAAATCTCTCTGCCACAGGATATTAATTAGAGTATATACACAAGAACGTTTTATTTTTTGCGTCGAAATAAATCCAAATGTGAACTATGATTATTAATTTTGTACACCCCCGATTGTACATTATATTCTATAGATAGAAAATTAGGGTTAGGTATGTGTATAATATATTTTTATTATTAGCAAATGTTTACGTTGGGTCTTAGGTTAATTAATAGTGTTTGAAGTTATCCGTGGATATTCTCGAATAGATAATTTATTTTCTTAAAAAAAAAAAAAAAAACATATTCATAATAAATAAAAATAAAGTTCTAACGAGATTTAAGTGTTGAACGCTAACGCTAGAAGTAAATACGTATAATGCAGTCGGATAATGAGAATGAAGAAGGTAGACGTGTTAAAGTATAAAAGAGTAAAAAGTTTTTATCCTATCTACACCTACTGTTTTATTCACTTATCCACTTTCAGCTGTTATGAATTAATTTTGTATGATAATTTCTTCGCTTTATATACGATACTGTGTTGAATTGATTATATAATACGTCTAATCTACACAAATTTTCGATTCGTTCGATAAACTAAAGTGGTATGAAGATTCGTATACTACACACTGATGTATTATAATTCATAGTATCACTGTTAATCGCATAGATCAGTGGTGGCCAAACTTTTTTTTCCTCGGGCCATAAAAAACAACTTTTTTTTTTATTGCGGGCTATAAAAAAATGCATTCTAAATTTTTTTTTACGTAAATGCAAAATATTACAGTTATACAAATAAGTGCTGTAATATAGAAGACTTTCGCGGGCCAGATATTAAATGATGGCGGGCCGGAGTTGGCCCGCGGGCCGTAGTTTGTACACCACTGGCATAGATAAAGCTAACACATAAAATATTAATACGCTTACTTGATAAAATACATTTCAACGCCTCTTTTAGTTACTGATAAGTTAATCGTTTCAATGGATAGTCCTGTTTATGCGTAATCTTTACTGTAATATATTTACCATTTAAATGCATACTTAATACATAAAATAGTTTTTATTAAAAAATATAAATATATAACGTTACCGAATACAAAATTTAAACGGGAAATATAGGTTGTGTTTATTGTTATTAATCAGTCTGCTTATCATAATATAATTCTATGAATTTGACAGGAAAAAATCTATTTAGAGCAGATTATTTTATACACTATTTTAGCATGTATATTGTTCTAACATATATTATTATACTCGTATTGTTATAAAATGAAAAGGATCATATTTTAATATAGGAACAAATAAAAATGAGAAACCCGCTAAAATATATTTATTATTAATAGACCTCTGCACTTATAAATAACTGTAATATGCATTCTAAATATGCTCTATAATACTCTAAATATTAAATTGGATCAATAGATAAAAATATGCAATTTCATAAACATCTAAGCCCTAATTATTAATAACTTCGAATCGTGAAAAATATTATTTTAATCACACATTATTAGTGATCTCTAATCCGAATTATATACCTATATTGATAAAATAATTATTATCTACACTCTACAGTGTAGATTAATACGTAAAATGTAGAGTCTACACTATTAATTTTAATATTTAACATTTTTTTTTATATTATAGTATCATTAGATTAATCAGTATTAAAAATTCAATTAATGTTTTGTATGTAATATTACTTCTGTAGAAATGTAGACATGATTCATTCATATAAGAAAAAAAAAAAAAACGTATAATTCGGAATAGAAAATTTATATATTTAAAAAATATTTATATAAATTATAACATAATAAATCACCTATATCACGCTTACTAGTTTATATATTTATTTTTTGTCAACATTTACGATACTTTAATAATTTTTCTTCTGCATATGACATATAATCAAGCATGGGCAAGTTAATAATACTTTTTAACTCAGTTAAGTTAAGTTAATTGAGTTCACTTTCAATTAAGTTAATTTACATGAGAATCACATCAATTAAGTTTAAAATGTTGTTAACGTAACTTAATTTCAGTTAATAAGTTATGTTAATTAAAAAAAAAATAAATACATTAAGCGTTAATATAAGCAATATATATATTAATTTACAGCAGATCTGAATTATAATTATTAAATTAAAAAGATAATGAAAATGCATAAAAAATCTCATTTTAAAATATTTTTTATTTAACCCTAATCAGACTAGAAAAATATACATTTCTTCGTTTGAATTGTTTTGATGTACTCAAATGTCAGATTTACCTTAAAGAATATGCTATTTTATTCATTTTTTATAGAAATCACAATTGAAAAATGTAATTAAAAAAAATAATATTTTTAATGTTCAATAATAATATGAAAACTAAAAAGAATCACTGCAGCTGAAAATGTTACTATACAATAAGATGATACAGTAGATACAAAACATTAAAATAAATTTATAAATTTATTGACTTAATTAAAATAAAAACAAATAAGACAGTACAACGGATAGGGTCAATCAAGTTATCTAATAAATCCCAGAGAGTTATCTCAACATTTTGGTCATCTATTAATAATATAACAATATATTACCTAAATTAATTTATTCACTATTTCACCATATTAAAAATATTTCTGAGATTCATAGAACTTATTTGGATATTTATTGTCCATGTTCAATTGTATGACTTGTATAATGTTGCAATCAATACTTAAAAATTATGCTGTATTACACAGACATGCACATAGAAAACGATATATATTATAAGTAGAATTATCACTAAAGACCGGATTTAATTCATATTGCAACTTTTTATTGATACCAGGTAAATAAAATCTGATGAGATATGTATACGAATCGAATTAATTATAGTCTTCCTATTTAATTTAATAACGCAATTTTTCACAATTTTCAATAGTTTTGCAATTTTTGCAATTATCGCTATTTTTGTATACTTCACGTGATAAAATATACAAATTATTATTTCTAAAGTAATTTTAAAATAAAGATATAACTACGACGTAAATGTTTAAATGCATTTAAATGAATTTTAGCGTTTTTTAAAATTATATTTTTCTGAGCTATCTACATTTTAATTTTAGAAGAATCAAATAATCAATTACTTAATAGTTTGAACATATTTTGTGACGATAAATATTCCCGGCCCAATAGGAAAATAGTTGAAGATAAATTAAAATATGTCTAAAAAAATGATATATTTTGTAAATATTATATTAATGTGCATATTATTATTAAAGTAAGTAATTAATGAATATATTTGATATGATTTTACTATATAATTTTAACATATTTATATTGCAATTTCGATAAATTTTTATTGTAATTTTGGCATCTTTTTATAGTAATTTTAAGATATTTTTAATGCAATTATATCCGGTCTTTAGTTATCATTGATCAGTGTTGTGTGTAGGCAGTGTTAGTCCTATGCACTAGGTTGTAGGGGTACACAAATTTAATATTATTATCAATTATGGAATAATTCTAATAATAATTTTATTCTTTAACCAATGATAATATGGACCTATTTATGTAATATAGATATATGGCCACTTTTTATGACAATGTAATTCATAGTAATGTAATTCATGAACGGAATGGCTATTCTTACTTAGGTAATAATCTTTTGACGGTCATCTACTTTTTCCAAGACCTGTTTAGTTAATTAGACCTATTAGTTAATACCATGATCAATATAATGTTTTAACTAAAAATAAAGATACAAAATTCTTCGGAGCCCTTTAGATTGTATTTTTGATATTTTTCTAAATTTCATTAATTTGTTATCGAACAAACAATAACGATATACACGGTATTTGACAAAAATATTTTTTTGATCTTGAAAATCAAAATTAACTTAATTGGGATAAATGAAAAAGTAATGCGTTATTTTAAGTTAATCTGTAAGAAAATAAGTTAAGTTAATTTTTCAGTTATGAAATAAGTTATGTTAATAAGTTAAATTAATTTAACTTTTAACTTATTAACTCGTTAATGCCCAGGCTTGCAAATAATCAATCACTTTTAAATACTTAGACATTTTTAAGATTTTATTTTTAAGGTATTCTAGAGTGTAAACATAAATTTTGATGTTAAAATCTTAGTATCTTATATACTTTGTATATTATAGGTGTTCGTTAATTTAGTGATGCACTTCAAGATACACTTAATGTTAAATTATTCAATCGTCACTAAATACATTCACTTTAAAATTTATTTATTCGATTTAACATGAAAGTTTTCCCACTTAACGATGCGTGAATTACTAAATAATAATAATTTCTCTTCACTGACTTAAATGTTGTTAGTAAAACGCACACGATCAACTAGTTATAATAACTTTTAAAGATTTTAAATATCTTAACTGTATATATTTTTAACATCCTATCAGATTTCTTTATATTATTTAGAATATTTATTTAAAATTGCATTGGTATATAAAAAAAAACACATGTGATCAATTCAAAATTACGAACAGTAAATAAAAATAAAATTAAGCTATTTTTTCTTTATATTCCAGTGATTGATTGTGTGATGTCGGAGTGGGAACCTTGGAGTGAGTGCGATACGGAGTGTGGTAGTGGCATGATGACAAGAAAAAGACAAGTGTTGAAGTCCCCGGTGAACGGTGGCAAACACTGTCCTTCAATGGTTCAGAAGAGGGCGTGCATGGGAACCAGATGCCCAAATTATCCCGGAAGTGCACTTAAAGGTAATAGCGTTTTCTTTGTTTATCGAATTAATAAAAATAAAAAGATAAAATAGTTATCAAAAATAATGAATAAAGCATGACTAATAACTAATAAGTAATGATACATCATTATCATAAATCTAAGTATTGTATTAAAGCATATTAAAAAAAATCCTACTCGAAAAAAATAATTTCCTTAGTGAATCATTTAACATCCTAAAATAAATTATTTCACGAGTGTCAATTGCAGTTAAAGAATTAAAATTGTTGTGATTGTTAAGCAATATCTAATACGGTTCATGTTCTGTTATAATTTCAAGTACTTTTACCCATACTTTAGACTATTGACTATTGAGTTTTATATATTTTCTTGCTTATTATGGCATATATAATATATCGACACACCTACGAGAGAAATTCAAAAAATGACTAATTGGATATCAGAGACAACGAATGTGCGTATTAATGCCGCTCCAACACCTTAAATCATATATCATTAATAATGATTCATTATTAATATAAAACATTATTTTGCTTAATACTCTTGTTTCGACCAACTTCAATTTGATGTGATTGCATATTTACTATGGTTGTAAAACTCTTTTTTTATCATTTCTCTTATTCAATTTGTTTCGATTCCGATTCAATAGATTTTATACGAGTACACCGGCAAATGAATACATAAATCTTTTTAAATGCATATTTTATCAAAATTTTGAACAACGGTGGTTAAGTAGATAATATTTAAAATGCTTGAAAGTTCAAATATTGTATATATATTCCACTATACATACAAAAATTAGATTCAATGTTATAATGTGAAATAATGGAACAATCTAGAAGCCCCTGATTGTTTCTCAATTATACTTTTCAGCGTCAAGCAGTCTTCAATGCTGTAAAATTGCATATTCTCATCGCCGTATTAGAATACAACACAAATGTCTATGACCTCGAAACTAATTTCACTAATAGGATAATAACTTTGATTACGTTATAAATTAATTATGAGTGTTGTATTACTTCTCTCTTTTTGACGTACATTACCATTGATAAACAACTGATTAAATTACAATGGTCAATTTTGTTTATTATGTACAAAATGTCATAATCTGATTAGAATGTTGTTTCAACACTAATCTATTAGACATAAATTTAACTTAATTGTTATTATATATATATATTTTTAATTTTATTATTAAAAAATAATTAAAAACTGCGAAGCAGCATTTACATCTTTTGTGATACATAAAATTCTGTGCATCACACATTCATGAGTTAATATGTCAATCATTTAGATTTGGTGAACAAATAAATCATTATTACCATTGTAATTAATTAATAAATTATACATGTGTATTTATATGATCCATAATTATTATTTAATAGTATATAATGATCTTATTATTTAAAATACACAGTGAAATAATCAAATCTTTTTACAAAAGCAGAACACGTAAACTACTTTATTGTACTTACTTTGTTATTAATACGTACTTTGTTGGTTACAATCATATTGTGTTGTTAATATCTTATATTTTTGACATTTTCATAAAAATTATATTTTAGATGTTTGATAATATTATGAAACGATTATCATGCATATTTTATAAAGTTAGTATTTGCAACAAAAAATACTAGGTACTTTATCGTAATAATGTTTGAAATCGAAGGTCTCGAATTTCTGTTTTTCAATTTGGGTTGTTGTTAGACTATTAATAAAACAAAAAAAAAAATAATAATTTAAGTCAACGAGCACATTTATTTAAAAAAAAAATATGTTATGATAAATTTTCAACAAAGCAATTAGGTAACATAATATCTAATGAACTTTATATAAGTAGTTTTATTATAAGATAAAATTTAATTTAATAATTTATTCATATGTCATGTCTGTGATAAATGTATATCCTATAATTTCATTTAAACTATTACATTTACATATATAAATGGATAAAATAAAACTGTTAAAACTGTACGAGTTTTTTTTTATAAATATGTAGTAAGACAGACTTGATATAATTATTATTTTTTTTCTTTGTCTTTTACTTCATTTTCTTCTTTACTATTAAAATAAAAGAAACGTTGACATATTTATAAATTATAAAATAAAATTATACATGCTGTCTCTTCTACTGATTATTTCAAACTTTTATAACTTTTAAATAATCATTAAATGAAAACGAAAATGCTTGTACACCATTGTGGTCATAGTTTTTAATATATTTTCTTAATAACGAAATTCACCATTGTTGTTTGCATAATGCCGAAATGTCGCATCTTTGCAACCATTCCCCGACTGACTCTTCCGTAATAATAAATACAATTTTCTAACGTCTTTTTGGCGTAGTGCTGTATTCTTAACCACAACAAATATTTATGTATCATATCAAATAAAAATAAAAATGCATGTCGCAGTTATATTTTCTTAGAGTGTTGTTTATTTTCTGAGATAACGGTACTTGGGCTATGTTTTAATTTATTGTCTGGCTGTTGAGATGAAAATTTTTTTATCAAGCAAAAAGTCGAAGCTCATTATTCACAAGTATCTTAAACGTAAACATTAACTATAAGAAGGGAAAAATATTATAATTTCTCATTGTCCGAAATCATAGACATCATTACATCAATAATAATTCAACTGTCCAACTAGATTGCTGCGTTTCATGCATTGCATACGTGAAATTATCTTATACCTATATTGTTATTATTTCGAGTATAATGATTTTTATTTTTTTTATGAATTTGAATTTTAAATGAATGTTTCACTTAACATCGACTGTGTTTAATTTTATTATTTTTAAAATGCTCTTTAAATGAAAATCGTTCGTGTTGATAAAATAATACAAATTATATTGAAATAGAATAATATGCCCTTTTATTATTCAATCTGTAGAGTAATAAATGTATTCTACTTCAATGTAGTTATATTAAAATGGTATTATCGTCATTGAACTCATTAAACACAAACTATTACACAAAACAAGCTTAAAAAAAAAAAAAATCACCAACAAATTCAAGATGATTGTAAACTGATAAAATTTCTTAAGTAAAATTTGATACATAAAAAACGATCTGAATAATCATGAAGTTTATCCTGTGGCAAAACTGAATAATATTTCGGTTGAAACGAGTTTTCCTACAATTCAACTAAAAACAAGTAATTCACTAGCAAACATTTAATTTATATTTTTTCAGCTCATTATAATCTATATATATATATACACACGGCGGTATAAAGATAAAGATAAAAGTACCAGACATAAAATACTGTGAAAATTTAAATTTACGTAAACCAGTAACATTTTATCTGCACTATCGATATTTTCTATCTAAGTCTGTAATTATTGTTTTAACTCGGAAACAAAACTAAACGAATTACGAATTACTTATTATTATTTTTTAATTTTGGTTTGTAAATTTTTGTATTTATATAAAATTATAAGGGATTCAAAGATTTTATAGTGAAATTAATACATTTTGGTTATAAATGCAGAATACATAATGTTCTAATAATTTTGTCATCGTTGATATTGGCTTCCTAATTAATATAAATCAATACTAAACGTAAATTAACCCCGTGCTGTTAGAACTCTGTGGTAAAAAAATAAAAATAAATGGAATGAAAATATACCGGGTTACTGTGGATAATGATCCGCAACTAAAAGAAAAAAAAATACAGAGTAGTTCTGTATGAATCGAATCTGAAAGTAACAAAAAAAAAAACAAAATTAGCAATATAAAAGTTTTTAAGTCAGAGTGGAACTTAAAATAACTATAAGAAAATTGTCAATGAATCATATGTTCTTTCGTTTGAAGAAGTTTTCGATTTATAAAAGTTTCAGATTAAATGAATTAACTGTATAAAGTTTCAACGTTAAAATTAAAAACCATTTGTGGTCATTTCTAGGTATAATACACAGCAATAATTTTATATTTTGAACCGTAATTCTTATAAATACGTATAATACAAAAAAAAATAAAAAAAACGATAATTTAATAACTAAGAGTAGTATTACATATCTAATTATTTTTTAGTGTTAATTCGACTTATATTTTTCTACATCATAGTATAATTAAAAAGTTGAATCAAAGTTCATTGATTAATAATCATATAATTATATATATTAAAATAATATATATATTAAATAATCATATAATTTTAACTTTATAAAAATAACCGTCAGGCACACTATATCTCAAATTTGTTTTCAGTTGTTGTAAATTCCGTATTGTCAAAAGTTACAGTAAACAGTAAACATATGTACCTACTTAAAAGCATATCTCTAGTTGAATTTGCCCACATCAATTATAAATATTCTGAGTACACTATTGACATTTGGTTTTCATTTTTCATTTAACGAAATAACATTCAATATAATAGAATTAAATATTTATAGATAATAAAATATATTATAATATAGTTATTTTAAAAATGTTTAAGTTTAATGTTAGAAAGTACAAATAAACATATTGAAAAATTAATTAAAATAAAAAAGAGATTTCACTTATCAGGTGACGAATGTGCACATTATTGTGTCGAATATTCGATTAAATTGAAAGTAATTACAATTTTTGAAAATTAACTTGAAAATGTGTATAGTTGATATCTAAAGTAGTTCAAAGTTTATTTACATACCATTCAAAGGCTAAGCAGTGTCATTATTTAATTTATAAATAGAGTACATTAATTTAGTCCCATGACAGTGGTCCTCAACCGTCTTTCATTCATGTAACCTTTAACCACTAAAATCAAACACTTTGTCAACCTTACATTAAAATAATTAACAATCTCAATTATATATTTTAAAATAATTCAAGCTAATAATTGACGAACTATAATAATACATAAATACTGTAAACTTACTGATTAGTTTTATTTATTTAATTAATTTTTTTTATTTTATTATTTTTTTTTAAATATATTTTAAATATATTAGATAATCGATAACGCAGCATGGACGCAAGTAAAATTACTGGATATACTTATGAGACCTAAATATTGAATATAAATATTATAAAACTATGAACTTCGAGGTATGCTATTTACATGAAAGTAGCAGCAAAAATATGATTATATTCGAAAAAATATTTTTTCCTCTTCCTATTGATATTTCGTGACATCCCTACACTGGATCAATGTCACTCCAGTTGAGAACCACTGCCATAGAACTGAAAATAAGACTAAATAAATGTTGGTTCTTAAGAAACATCTAGGTAACTGAGATTTGAAGATAAGCATAATTTTAACTTCTACTAGATTTTAATGATTTTTAAAAATTAAAAACATTCAAATATTAATATAATTAGCCACATTTTTACGAATCAAGTTTTGAATAGTATATTACAAATACATAAATACATAATATTTTGTCATTAACAATAAAATTGTTTTGAAAAATGTATTTTTAAGTACTACATGAATAACAATTTACTTCAACGCTTTTAAAAGTACCTAATTTTAATTAAAAGTATTTTTGGTATGCTTTTGGAAATGGAATATAAACAATTATCATTCTGATATCTTTCATAAATCGTAGTAAAATTAATGAAAGTTGTATAAAAATAAATGTTATTGAGAAAAATACTGTTTGGGGGAAATTTATAAAAAAAGGTAAATAATATACTATAAAAACATTATTACGTGTGATTGTATTATAATATTATTAAATGTAATGAACTATACCGTGTGTTCACCAATTTAGGGTACACTGAATTTCTCAGCCATATTATGTTGGAATAAATAGAAATTTTTTTTACAAGCTAGTGGTATATAAATACACATTTTCAGATAAATTTCAAATTTTTAAATCTCTCGGTATGCGCATGCGCAATGCAACTTATTTCTTTTTTAATAGTAACCGGTATTTTTGACATCGAATTCGGATAGACTGAATTTTTTTAAGTCATTTTGATGAATTAACCATGACTCTAAAATCAAAATTGACTGAATGAGAGTCATTTAAATTTTAATAAATAATACATTCTATAATTCATTATAAAATGCATAAAACTATTTATAATTATTTATTGTTGGTTACTTTTTGAATATTTTTACGTATTTTTTTTTTTTATTTTTTTTTTTATTTTATACGTTTTATAAACAAGATTAACATAATATGGATATACAATTATTTAATTAAAATTGATTACATGGTTTTATGCATTTTATAATGAATTGTAAAAATGCATTATTTATTAAAATTTAAATGGCTTTCATTCAATTAATTTTGATTTTAGAGCCATGGTTAATTGATCAAAATGACTTGAAAAAATTCAGTCTATCCAAATTTGGTATCAAAAATATCAGTTGCTATTAAAAAAAAAAAAAAAATATGTTGCATTGCGCATACGCGTATCGAGAGAGTTAAAAATTTAAAATTTATCTGAAAATGTGTATTTACCACTAGCTTGTAAAAAAAAAATTCGATTTATTCCAACATGATCCGGCTAAGAAATTCAGAGTTCCTTAAATTGGTGAATACACGGTATATAATATTTTTATAAATTTCTATGATTTAATAGTACAAATTTTAGAATACATTGATTGACGATAGAGAAATTCGTTAAATATTGTATGAAAATGGATCAGAAGTACAAAATTTGTAATTCTTAAAAGTGCCGATTATTTTTATGAAATGTATACAGACTTATACAAACGAATGTATTCTTTTGAAAATAATTTATGATAGTAAAACTTAAGCTTCACAAAGAAAAAGCAAATAATGGTATACAACAATAATATTATCTTTACGACCTAATAGATCACAAAGTCATAGCTACAGTTCTCTGTTCTCACTAATAATTTTATGTCAAAACCCTATTAAGTCGTCGGTTGATTTCATTTTAAATAATTTTTAAGTATTTTGAAAACATTTTCAGGTCCACAGATTTAAACAATCAGAATCAGGTTTCATGTTCATTAGTGATGTAATCTGATAGCCTTTCAGTGTAAAAAAACTCAAGAAATTCTTTAATATTTCATTTAGGACACAACGAAATAATATTACAGTTTAAACTTTTCCTTATTATCTGTATAGCTTTATTAGAACAATATTCATTGCTTTAACCAAAATCAACAAAGCTAATATTATACTTAACGTATGATGTATTGCAATATGTTTGCTCAAATATTTAACAAGCGGTATATAATAATGTGTATCTTTATCATGTATATGGTCAAGCTTCGTTGGAGAAAAAAAATAAAATCCCGATTAAGTTACTTGCAATAGCCTAAATATTAAATTGTTATAAAATATATTCAGTTATAAATATTAATAACGAATGTCATAGTTTGATCACAAATCATGCGATTTGGACAAAATTATTAAAAAAAAAATTAAAATATAATTCATTGTATACTTCAACCTGATAAAATTTCTTAATGCATAAAATTATATTTGCCTTTATAATATTATTATGTCTAAAACTAGCTGTAGATTATACTAGAATTACCATAGTTTGTATGTAATCTTTATCATTTAAATGATGTTAATATTAAATAATTCTGTGGACAAACTAAAAACTATTTTTTATAAATATAACACATAGCACAATATTACGAGTATGTTATATGTCTACTGATTTTTAAAATTACTAATTACTAAACTACTCAATTACTAAATTAAATATAGAAATTACTGACATATTTTCAGAATCTTTCTTATGTTTTTTCTATATATTTTTTTTAACAAGTGTTAGATTGCAATAATAAATCTATAAAATTATAAATATTAAATAATTAATAAATATTCAAACCATATTTTTTTTTGGAGTTATTAATTAGACTAACTATTAAAAAGAACTGTTTTAACTATAAAAATCGTATTAGTGTACGAGGATTTACTATGTAAATTACCATATTCCCAACGTCTGTTCAATTATATATAACTCAGTTAAAATTAACTAAATTTTATTGAATTCAAATTTAATAATTAACTATCTTAATTACTTGTATATGTATTAGTTCATCTCTAATTATTGGATAATGATAATAGATTATTATTGTTAGTTTGGTGTACATAATATAAATGTTTAGTACAAAAATATTTAAAATACTTATTATGTGAATTATGATAAATATAATTATGTATTGAAGATAATCCAAATTATATTTTTTTAATAATTTCATTTGATTTATATCTTCATAGTATTCGGAGTCACTCAGTTTATAAGATAATAATATACCATGTAAAACAAAAGAATCATAAACATTTAAGGAATTGTTTTTGTTATATTTCAGAGACTGCCATGTTGCTGCCTGCGTCTCTGGCATCCAACCGCTTGACTAATGAGTCCCAAGATATACGTCACAATTTAAAGTACCGCCTATCAAAGGATCCAGTCGATTTAGATTCAAAGGAGTAAGTGTATAATTATTTTCTACGTTATGGGTTGACATGAACTAAATAGATAACTGAAATAAAATAATTAACTTGATGTCGGATGAAGATAAAGACGTTAAGTTTCGTTTGCGACCCTATAAGTGTTAGATCCTAACACAGGTACTCTATAAAATCTACAATATTCATAAGTGTGTGTAATTTGTATTTACACACACACATACATAAATACATTATTTAAAGACATTGTTAATACATAAATAATACGTATACATAAAAATATATTAATATATAAGCTCCGTGAATACACAATTTGAGACGAAGATGTGTGATGATACTATGATATTCAGTAATGAGAGGTGACCAGACAAGGGGGATAATTGTATCAAAACCTGGGATGAATAATATTCAAATTTCGAGCACACCTTTATCATAAAATTGTTACTAAGGACATAAGATACTTCTCTACAACATCATAATGTATATACACTATACATTTATGATTTTATATATATAAAAACTCTGAAAACATCCATTTCCTGTTAATTTTAGAGTAGTTCTAACATGAAAATAAAATGTTAGTAATCTAGTTTGGCTTATAATACATTTAATAAATATAATATAATTATAATTAATTACATATATAAATATTAATATTTAATAAATAAAAAAAGTATTATAAAAAGGATTTTTTTAAATTCAAGTTAAAAATAATTTAATTTCTTGTATCAAATAATTCAATTTAATTTTAATTATAATATTTGAAAATTATTATTTTCTTTTAAAAATAATAAAAGTTTTCAACCCTCAAACGCACATCAGTTTTCTGACTAATATTTATAAAAATTAAAATATTTTATTTTTAGGTATAAAGGACAAATATATATAATATACATGTGTCATGTTTTATAAATTTCAGTTAAAAGTTTTACTAACAATGGTTTTTTATTTCAAAATACAGCAGTGTATAAAATACATTTTAAATAAGTCTATATTATGTGTAGAAATAGATGGAAAATTCTTAGTGAATATTTTTTTTATGCATATTTAAAAGGGTTTTGGATGTATTTATATAAGCACATTTAACCATTTAATTCAGTGGTAGAGATTCTAAAATTTAAAAATTTTAAATATACAAGGTTAATCAAACTAAATCAATTATTTTTAATTACTGAGATATTATATTTACATATACTCAGTTAACGTGTGAAATACAAATAATAACACCTTTAAATCATCAATATTTTTAACAAAAAATAGAAAAAATTATTTTTATTCGCACTCAGTACATGAGTATACTCGAATTACGTGTTATATTATTTCTCAGATATCACTTTGTTTACGAAAAGTAGGTCGGATTCATTAATATTTAAAGAATGAGCGATAAAGCGTATAGAATTTCAAAAGCAAGTTAAATTTTATAGCTATAGATTTACTTTCAATATAATATATTTTTTTTTTTACATAGTAATGTTATACTCATTATATAAGTTCTTATTGTTAAAAATAAAAAATAATGATTAATAGTTGTGAATTATTATTCGTAACAAAATAACTTTCTTTGATTCGTTTTTATAATACAATAATTAATTGGTTGCAACTTTAAAATTATAGTACTCCCTCATATCATCAACATTCAAATATATAAGCTAAAACCGTAAAGTAACCTTTTCTGTTAATAGTACTTGTTTAAAGTGAGATAATATGCATTCCTGGTATTAACCTCATTTTCACTAGCTAATAATTTTTATTTTAATTTTTAATGGTAGTAAATGTTTATTACATTTAGTTTTCGTGATCAAACTCTATTGGCAATATATTTTAATAAATATTATCTATTTACTCGTTTTTATAAATATAGTAAGACCTCGATAAATTAAACTCTATAAGTCGAATTTTCGATAACTCGAAGGAACGTCTTGTGGAAACGGAGGATCCTACACTTCAACATAAAATTATTTATTATATTGCCTATTAGGATATACTTTCTCGATAGTTCGAATTCTGATAACTTGAAATAATTTGTGTCGAATTGTGGCTTTTTATTTGAATTATTAAAAATTACCGGAATTATATCATACACTGAAGTAGCAAGGAGAATCAGATAGTGATGACAATGTGAAATCACCTATAACTTTTTTTGTCCAGACATGTACGCAAATTTTTCTATAACTCGAAATAATTATTTTATCTATAACCAAGTCGATTTGTGGAGGTTCCACTATGATTAATATAAATCATTATAACCATAGTTAATTTTTAGAAAGTATTTTAAAAAAGTGAACTAATATTATTTTATACAAATAACTATATCACCGATATTATTTATTATCATTAATGTTTATATTTGGACATCAATATGTTGTTTTTATTCATCCATCAATCAAAAAGGATTTTCATAGATAATTCAGCACAGAATTATATTCTCAAACATTATTATAATACTTCAGTTTTAATTGATATATTATTGGTATGCATGCAATTTTTCATTAGTATATAATTTTCATGCTTCCAATTGAATTTTTTTTTTTTTTTTATGTAATAAATAGTAATAGATGAAATGGAACTCGGTCAGTCAAAAACTATTATTGATCCATCTCTCGTCCTTCCTCGATTAGAATTTTGATTTTATCACATTTTAAAAATCGAAAATACGATCACTCGTAAATTAAACTAAGCAATCGGTGACATTGTAAATGACCACACATCCGTTTAAATTAATTTAACGTGATTGATTACCGACGCATATAATGTCTAATTAATTATCCGTATGTAAATGAACCCCTGAATAATCGTAACTATTACCGTTAATACCTTTGTTACCCTATTGACTATTTCGGCATAACGATATTGGACGTCGTATACACGATAAATATATATATATTATATTTAATATTATATATACGCTGATTTGTGTTGTGTGGACCGAACGCATTATAGACACGCGTACGGTATACTATTAGTGTATTCCTCTATATAATAATATAAACCGTCGGCACTTAACCTCGTCGACCGAGTCCAATATTACGCGTATATCTATAAGATATAAGCTATCTACATGACTTATTCGTTACACAAAATGGTATCTTGAAGCTAAATAACATTCTTAACCTTTGAAAACCCGTGTTCTTAAATGTACACCAGCTGTTAGACTCTTGAAACCTCTATTGTTTGAGTTGCTTTATACAAAACAATATATTACACATTCTCGCACACATACATAATGTATACACATGTATTAACGGAATATTTTAACTTGTACTACGTTTCATTTATACACGTGCACGCATGCGTGGAACACAATAACAAAGGTACCCGTTGAATGTCGTTTCACAAGTTCACGGTATAAAGCAATATCAAAATATAATGTCTCTCCGGTTTTTCAATTCAAAGAATTCATTAAAACCTCGGAAGAAGGTTTCCACATAGTATTTAATTAATGTACTTGGCTATATACTTTGTATGCGTGCCTTTATGTGCGTTGTGGATGTATGCGAAAATTACAAGCACCGATGACCTTTTCAATAGATACTTGTTATGGAGGTTGTCGGTCGGTAAAAGCTGTTTACACGTCGAAGCTTTTGTGTTTAAGTCAATGCATGAAATTAATGTGGGTATAGTAGCGAGTGATGCGCGACGGATTTGAACTAAAGCTGAATAGGCGATAAAAAGTAAAAAACGTGTGTATGTTTTATAAAAATATATATTATATTTGTGTGTGTGTGTGTGTGTGTGTGTGTGTGTGTGTGTATTATATGGGTTCATTTTTTATTTTTCTGAGCTTGCCTTTTAAACCAGCGCAGGCTTAACAAAAAGTACTCAAAGCTATGTAAACATTATGCGTCAAGATTTCCCGTTGAAAACATGGGGTTTTCTGGGGAACGAAATAGCGAGTAAAGCTTCTCGTAATATTGAAAGTCCCGCACATTAGCCCTTTTATAAACACCATAGAATTTTCGTTTCCATACAACAAATATCGAATCGAAAATTGTGATATCATGTAAGCGAAAATTGATGTGTTCAGTCATACAATATGCTTTAATGCTGTGTAAGAGACGAATTGACAATTTTCCCACTGCGGAGTACAATGATATAAGCTGATTTTTGAAATATTATTTTTACTAGATATTTTATTTAAACCCTTTCGACAGTTGTTTATTTTATCCTCCCCACTCCTCAAAAAACATTCAGTTTTGTAAGTCAATAACTTTTCTTATTGTACATTTGTATTATATTACAGTAAACATGTACATTGTAAATGCATAACTTTTAATATATCATTTTTACTAATAGATCGGATATATTTAATATTATCATTATGCTATAAAATAAAACCCAGAAATTTTAATGACGTATTTTATTCTTTTAGTTTATTAAATGAATGCATTTAACTGCTTATTATTTATTTAATTTGTATTAATTTTTAAGAGTGACACATAAATTCATTGTTTCTATCGATAATGACGAGAGTTAGGATGTTGATGACTTTTGAATTTTTTTTCCTTTGATTTATATAATGGTATCTTAGCTAAAAATTTGTTTCATGCTCCTTTGATGCAGAATATTTTAATTTAATTTTGCATTTTTAGGTATTTTTAGCTATAAATGCTTCTTTTTATTTTTAAACATGATTTTTCAACATTTTTAAGTCATTTTTTTCATGTTTTAGAAATTTTTTTGTAATTTTTGTACAATGTGGGGACATTTTTCTCAAATTTTAGATTTCAATGAAAATTTATATAACATTCATATAAAAATCATTTTAATATTATTATTGTGGAGTTTATTTTAATATAATTTTTTTATTTATATTTTACTTTTTAATTTATTTTTAATAATCTTATATAATGCTTAAAATATAAATATACATTTTTACATTACATAAAAAATGTATACTATTGTTTATTAATATCATGGTTAATATTTTAAATTACTAGTACCTATACCCATTATCGCACCAATATCTCTAATAAAAAATAATATTTATAAATAAATTTTTTTCACTTATTTAGATCATTTTTAAGTTAATTTTTTTAAGTTTATAGAGTATTTTTTCCTTTTTTATAGGACATTTTTTCATTTTCGTAGAGAATTTTCGTATGTGTTTTAGAACACTCCTATGACCAATATAATTATCATCTATAAATTTATATAATTAAATTTTTATTTTAAAATTTAAGTATAAAAATAAAACTGAATAATAAATTACAAGCAATCTTATTCATCATTCATTATAATAAAGGATAATTTTTTTTAATATAAATTTAAATCTATCATCAATCAGGTCAAAGAAAAACTTTTGAAAAACGTATGATAAAAATTAAATTTCTAATTTCAAGTATAATTGTGATTGTAATTTAAAATTAAACTATTAACTCATCAATAAATGTAAATATTATTTTAATTTTCTAGGTAACAATGTCCATGATTAATTAAAATTTTTGATATACTATATTTATATATTTTACTACGTAATATATTGTTTCGTAATTAATACTTTTTAACTACTATCAATCATTTTTGTTTATAATTAACACTCTTGATTCCATGTATTGTCTTCATTTTTCACGAGCGAGTGGAAGTATTTTATCTCTGGTCAGTCTTTGAAATATTATTTATTATTGACATCATTATTCGATGAATATTATTTCGTTCATTTTTTTTCAATCTTTTAATTTTTTAATTAAAATACATTTTTCCACAAACGAAAAGGTGTTATTTCGATACTTTTAGAATTTAACTTATTTATTAGCGTGAAATATAATATACTAAATGGAAAAAATAATGATTTTAAGGGAAAACGCATTTATAGTGCCAAAAATACTGATTATTTTGTAGCAACAAAAAATATTATTTTTTTTTTAAATTAGATACTTGATGTATATAGGTAATTTATTATAAAAGCTTTAAATATGACCAAATCTTCACCTGTTAGAATCTAATCTTATAAAGTAGCTACTTCCTATAATATTTTCTTATTAGACTCACCAAACCGGATTCGATTTTCACTTTGATATAATTATACTTAAAAAATATAGGTGCTTCACATACATTTTGTTTTATAATTTATAGCAATACGATGTTATTCCCATGAATAATTTATAATAAACTTACAATATCGTTTAATAGACTGGTTCGTATACAATAAATTAATAACATAGTGGTAAACTACTATGCTATAATGCATTTTTTATTAATAGCAATGACATAACATTATATTAATTATGAAATAAAAATTAATAAATCATTTAAATAATTTTAACAAAAATGCATAAAAAATGTACATTATTTTTTAAAAGTTAATTAGATTTCTAAAGTACCTAAATAATAATAAAAAATTATTTTAATTTTGTTGGGTATTTTACAGTTAAATAGCAGACATTATTCACACTTTTAATAAGCTACTCAGCTCATAATTTCTACTGTGTCAGGACATTAATTCGAAATTTTTATCTTGTTTCTAAAAATGATTCTCAGCGAATGTGCACATTTTTCAAGTTTTACAAACAAATTTAATAAAAATAAATTAAGTTACCAAATGGAAAATTAGCGTTTACTTGGAAACTGTATGAATTTTGTCAAGTAGAAATAAACAAAAATGTTGTTAAAATTTAAGTATATTTTGCCACAACAATACAGATATTCAATACTATATATAACAAATAATGAATATATGAAAACCATAATTTTCCACGAAATAATACATTTTTTTTTTCAAAGCATTTATAGCAGTTATGATTAAATTTTAATATGGCATTTTACTCCCATATTTTTGAATAATTATGCGGAACGTAAATACCTACTTAGATTTAATTTTTTTCAATAATAATTATTTACTATATTATTTTACTATTTACATTTTTTTATAATTATATTTAATTTAATAATCATTCATGTTTATATCTTTTGAACAATTATTATAGTTAAAATGTATGTAATTATAACAATGCATTTTTGGGTATACACCACGTGTAGCCGTATAGGATGAACTATAATTTTCTGTAGAAAAAAATATCGAAATCTTCGATATTTGGAAAAGAATGCAAACTATAAAACTCAATTTCACGTCCTACCATACTAAACAGTACACTTGATGACACTTTACAAAGAAAAGCACTTATACTACCCATTATACCCATCACAACTTTTGAGTTCAAAACAAAAAGTATGAAATTCTTTATTTACACACCTTTTTGATAAATAGTATCCCTCTGGAATTAATAATAAATAATCAACCGAATTCTTACAACAGTTATAACCACCTTTTTTTTCACGCCTAAGAAAAAAATATTCACAATTTTTATCTATATATTTTGAGGTCATATATTTAATATTTTTATTGTAAATTAATGTGGGTAGTGATTGTATAAATATTGCAATAACGATCATAAGTATATTAAAAATTATAATTATAAGTATGTAATATATTTACTTTTTATTACATATACAAGTTAAAAAATAATATCCTTGGAATTTGATGAAAATACGTCGAAGAAAATATTTATCAAATACTAATACGATTTCAATAGTGTATTATATACGCTACACTGATATTATATAATAATATAATTGATCCGCAAATCGTAATAATGTGTAATAATAATATTGAAATGGTAATGTCAACAGTACATCACTAGATTATAATATTATTGCGTTACTTTAATATACGTGGTACACGTATGTGTGCTGAGTGGCATTATCTTGTTGTACCAATGAATATCATTATCATAATACTTTAAAGGGTCGAAGAAACCTATGAATGTAAAATTAGCATGTTCAAGTTACAATAGGTTTGTATACCGATGTCACTTTAACGTTATACTTCAAGGGATGAAAGCGATATTTTCGCGCGGAATATGATGTAGATAATATACAAATACATACACGTGTTTTACATACACAACTTACGTTTTACCAATACGAACGTGTAATATATGATGTACCCGATGTACCGAAGTGCATAGTGTATGGTACAATTAATTAGTTATGATAAGTTATAGCATAACCGTTGCGATAGTGTTTGTACAATATTGTTATGTCGTGTTCCAGGTACTGCGTTCTTTTCGAAGTGATGAAAGCGACCAAGGCCTGCAGAAAAGTGTCCGAATACTCATTGCTCCGGGAAGGTAAGGCTCGACCTTAAAAACCCTCTAATTATACTCGAGTTTACACCTGCCCTCGAACCTCCCCCCCCTCCGACCCGTTCTCGGCCACAACAGCGGGCACTCTGCGCGACTGAACTTGTTGGGACGAAATAAATTAACTTGAGACAGTGTACAGGATATACGCGCGTAAGTAGTGCGTGCAGTGTGTACAGACACACCCGGTCACCGGGTACGTATTGTACACTGTACCTGTCACGTTCGAGTAATATATGAACTCGGTGTTACTGTGGCGCAAAATAAATTTTTCATACGCAACAAATAGACGTTTTATCGTTTTTTTTTTTTTTACGCGTCTGATATGATGATTTCCGTATCCGTTCAATGGGAAATCAGCGATGTGATGGCACCGGGTTAATCGTAACATTATGTACATACATGTATGTAAATATATATATTTATATATATGTCAAGCTTTTAATTCATGTGTCAATATTCAATTATCAGATTTCAGCCGTCGTCCGTTATAATCATTATTTTTATCATTCATCATTATTCGTACAAGTCACATAATATTTATAATCGAATCATATACGTGTAAGTATACACGCGCGCGCATGCAATAGATGAATACCTGTGCTTGTTACGATTTCAGTTGGTAATCGACGTTTATATTTCAATAATAAAATAAAGCGTAAACGTTCGAAAATGCGGGATGCGTTTACGTACGCAATATCATTTTAGCTCACATCAATAACACGTGATCGCATTTTACGTTACTACTCTGATGTCTACGTGTAGATGATTAATTGTTTATTCGCGAGAAACCTATAAAATAATATTTGCAAACAAAATTAAATTCCTTTTGAATTCTTTTTCCAGTCAATTTTTAATTCAACCTGTTTTGAAGGTATATAAAGGTATATAATAAATATTAAAAAAAATTACTTTTACATTTTATAATAAAATCAATGATTATACTATATAATAATATCATAATGAGCCAAATCTAAACTTACGATATTTTTGAAACTTTGACTTGATAATATTTTAATTCAATAAATCATTAGTTCAATATGACAATATATATTATTTAGATTTAAGACGTACTTGAAATATTTAAAAATCATGGTACCATAAAAATTGACTAGAATTTCTATAGTTATTTAGAATAATATCTTCCGTCAAAAGGTTTATTAATTCTTTTACGTTAAGGTAATATAGTATACAATTTATGTGTTTCTTCCATTATGGAAGAGGTTTTTTATTACCATTGTCAAAATAACAAATTTAAAGAAAAATTCATAGTAGATATATATATATATATATATATATAAATTGTAGCGGACCCTTATAATTAATATTATTTTGAAATCATCTCACTTTATACTATATATGACATACATCATATTAAAAAATATTTTATACCTAGTAAGTATCATAATGGAAAGTTATTATTTCTTAGTGATGTAATGCAAACAATATTTAAATCAAATAAATATTTATTTTATCCTTATACAGCAAAAGGAACAATTAATAATTTTTTATCATAAGAAATATATACCTAAAATAATCAGATAAATTTAATATATTACTCAATTCTTAAAATAACCCTTCCTCTCGTACTGACTATTCAATATAAATTATATTTGTTTATAATTTTTAAATATTTATAATAAATTCTATAGTCACTAGCTGCTAATTTTATAATATTATAAAATTATATAAGCTTAATTAAATCTACTTTCATTTAAGTATTTCTATTCAACTGTATTTGATAAACATTTCCTAATAAAATAAGAATTTATTGAAGATATTAAAATTAATGATATAATTTTCCGTCTCATTATTCGTTTACCAACATTGCATATTCAAGCCTTTTATCTTATTATCATAAAATACTTTGAAATATGTATTTCTGAGCTAATTTTAAAAATCTAATCTAACATATAACATTTAAATATTTCTACCTAACTTGAATAGTATATACATATTATACTTAAGGCATTTAAAACCATTTCACTACCCAAAATATGCAACAAAAAAATATGTAAGCATTCTAAATTATTAAATCAAATGTATATTTATTCATTTACTGACATTCGTAAATATTTCAATGTGTACTTAATTCAAACTGCAATTTATATTATTGAAAAATTGATCCAAAAAAACATAGTATAGTATAGTATATACCCATGGGAAACTGTTTGCGGTGTGTCTAAAATTTTGTACGTACGTAGGTGTAAGGTATACTCGTACATGCATTTCAATGATGTGTACAAGTTGATTTGTCTATTTTATCTTTTCGCCATCATTAGTCGATCCCCCTTGCGCATGTTCACATATTTACTAGTATACTGGGCAACACTTACATGTTTTCTAATAGCAGTGTAACTTAGGGACCAAATTCATTCGCACTGCAGGAGACTCTTTAAATATTCTATTAAATACATTAAGTATTAATGTTCCGAAAACATGTATACACAAAATATGCACCTATATGGTGGTGTGTAAATGTGCTCTATACGCGTTATATATTTACGTTACATTTTTTTTTTTTTTTTTTTGTCAGCTCAGAACTTATTTGTAGTTACAAATTGCACTGTAATGAATATTATTGAGTCATTGATTAGGTTTTTTTTTTTTTCAATTCGAACGCCAACAGTCGTAAATGCGATAATTTTGAAATATACGTTTTCGGAACCGTAAAACTCAGAGAGAAAAACGCATACTCGTATACAATACGTTGAAAAAACGAATTCTGAAACTCTAACGAGTATCATAAAATTATCTCCTCATCCATTTATGAGACCCAAAGTCTATATACCCGCAATTAATCATAATTTTTCTATGTGGATTTGTTTTCCCAATAACACGAGCACAACATGGTTAACAAGTATTAACATATTAAACTATAATCAGTAAAAATCTCTACAAATATTTATTTTTTACTGATCTAAATATTTTATCAGCTCATATTTTATCGTTATGATCAACTTTTGAATAGATCAATAATTAAATGGATAACACTAGAAATTTGCACTACATAAACCGTCCGCTCTTTCCACTTAAATATATTTTTTAACCTTATGGATAAAGAATCAAAAATATTTATATTATATGAATGTCTTTCTCCAATTATTGGTAATATTTATAATAATTTTAACAAAAAGGAATTTTTGTTGCCATTTTCATAGATATTCGTAGTACCTTTGATTCGGTTAATATTTCTACTTAAGTCTCAAAGCTTTCCACCTATCATCTACTTTCCATCTTCTGTAATATAATTTATCTGTTTTCACATAGAAATCATTATTTAATTTCTCCTTATGGGATACGATGTTCACGTACCACTTTTTATGGTCTTCCACTAGGTAGTTGTTAAGACCTATACTCTTTAATGGGTATATGAGTTTTATTGCAAATTACCTTTAAGGTATTGGCTATAAATGTTTTATTTACGCGAATTGTGTAGTTGTTTTCTCTTCAAATAAGTTCCTAAACATTGCTATAGTTTGCCTTAACCAGACTCTCAAAAAACTTAAAAAAAATTTCAATAATTTATCTTTCTCAGTTGCTTATGATAAATGCAAGTCTGTAATATTTACTAAACGCAAATACGTGGATCCTTCATTATATTTTGATAATAATACCATTCCTTTTTTTTGATAATACCACCTATTTAGATATTATTCTTGACTCCAAACTGCGTTGGCTACCACACATTGTTTCAGTCATCTCCTTTGACTTTTGTTGGGCTGACTTCCTTAGAGTAATTACTAGTACCTAATTGGGCTCTCATCCTACTACTCTTTTATAAGTTTATAAATCTATTATACGTTCCATATTCGATTAAGATTCTCTTTAGTTCTGCAGCTTTTTCCAACTGGAAAAGACTCAACAAAATTCAAATTTCTTGTCTATGAAATTTTATTGGCTATGTTAAATCATCCCTTCTACCACGAACTGAAGTTAAATCTTTGTGCCCTCCTTTCAACATCAAATGTCGATGGCTTACATATAGGTTTCTCTTAAAATCTTTATCTCATTCTTATTGCTCTACTTTTAACACCTTTTATTCCTTGTTTTTAACTTGGCATTATATCTCTCAATCTCTTCCGGTCCTATCATTGACACCAAATCATCTCTCATTTCCATCATTATATTATAACTATTACGAAACTTTCTATGTATAAGTAAGCATATAAAGCCCTCCTGAATTTAACGATTGTTCACGTAATTGATCAAAGGCAATCTCCTAAATAATTAAAGTTTACTTCTCCAGTGGTTATTAATAATCTTTTTTCGGATTTCATAGTAAGTAATTTCCAAAACTTTATTGTGGTTTACGCGGATCATTCCATTTCTCTTCTTTCAGCTGAATACTCCTTCTATACTCCCGAATCACACATATCATTTATAAGTAATTTAACCTCTTCTTCTTCGTATTTCACATCCGAGTGTTTTGCCATTATAGAAGCACTGAATATTATCTCAACTTTCAATTATAAAAAGGTTTTAATTACATCAGATTCATTGTCATATCTCCAATCTCATAATTCCTTTTCTTTTAATTATCATATTTCTCTTTTTGTTCTTCGGATAAATTCTATCCTATTTAGCCTAAGTCAATTAGATTTTAATATTCAATTTATTTGGCTTCCCAGCCATTTGAATATAATTGAATGTCTCATGACAATGAGATTGCCGACAATTTAGCCAAAATGTTCCCTAATTTTACTGGTCCTTTTTTTCTTTCCTATCCCTTAGTCTGACTTTACTCTATAACTACAATGTCACGTTTTTAAACTTTGATTTGTATATTGGAATAATTTACCTGCAAACTTTGTCTCTAGGCTCAAATATATAGTCCCTACCATCTGTTATGATACCTCTACATTCTCATTCCCATAAATTCAATTTAAATGATTCCCCATTCTGTACCCTGCATACGGAAAAAAGTGTTTGCGATCTTTCACATATTCTCTTTAATTATCTTGTACTCTCTACTAAACGTTTGAATTTGATTTCCTCACTCAATTCCTTAAGCATCTCCTTTAATTTCTTCTCTGTCCTAAACTGTCCGAACTGGTTGTTAATTTAATTTTCCCGTTTATTAAGGAGACTGGCTTTATTATTTAAAGATCTCCCTTATCTTTATTGTATAATTTATCTATTTATTATTATCTTGTTTATAACTATTACGAAACTTTCTATGTATGAGTAAGCATATAAAGCTTTCCTGAATTTAACGAATGTACACGTAGTTGATCGAAGGCAATCTCCTAAATAATTAAAGTTTACTTCTTATAATTATAATTATTGCCTTAATCATTTTTTTGTATATATCGTTTATCAATATTTTAAATATTTTTTATTATACCTTAAGATATATATTGTAACTGTTATTAAATAACTATAAATTAAATATCTAATAAAATATCTTAAAAAAAACGAAAGTAAGTGGTAAAAACAGAATTGGGGAAATTAAATATAATTCTTAAATAATTAACAAGGCAGTCAATGCTCATTACTATATAACAATAACTATATAGAATACTATATAGAACAATACTATATAGAATTGAAAAAACAAAATATTTAAATTCTAAAAAAAAGTACTTTACCTGACCTATAGTTGTTTAGATGACTAGATAATAACGAAAATAGAACTTGACAATTCATACATGGATTCTGCTATATAATATAAACAAGCAATTTTGATAATTCGTTAATGCAACCTTTTATAAAAATAAGGAGGATGAAATAGTGAGCGCTTTAGTTAGTCGCAGCTACTATAATTAGAGATGTGGTTAAACACCATTCAAGTTTTAAGCAGCTAAGCTACATTCCTAAAATCTACGTACATAATATATTCTAATCATCCGGTAAATCAAAAAAACCCACGACTCCCTATAACTATAAAAATCATCCAATTGCTATGACTCAAAATCCTTCGATTATAACGTACGTGGGATAAATCCTCTTTGATCTCAACACTGTTTACTTTTCCCACCAGTTATACACCAGACTTTATACCATTGAGATCATATATATGAGTTCAATAAAAGAATAAAAAAAACTATAAATATATTAAAACCAATAAAATACTCTAAATAAAAAGTTAATATTGACATTTTTGCCCTTGACATTTTTAAAATTACTTTCGTCATCGGAATTAATATAAATATAACATGTAATGAAACTTTTAGATAATTTGAAAACCATTTTTAGTATTAAGATAAAGAATAATTGATACATATATTTAACAATCATAAATAAAAATTATAAAAAAATGTAATTAACATACAAATAAGAATATAATGTGTTCGTAATTTTTTTCTTATTTTGAAAAATTAGCTTTTCAGATTGTTAAAACTCGTTTTTGGCCTCATAGGAGCAATAGACTTTGTCCATGTAGTTATGTATGAAAAATTTATCGAGGTTTAGGTCGTCTCTGGAGTTATCAGACACAACATATTATTATAATTATCATTATTAACATTATGTTTTTTTTTCCTCGTGCAGGTGAACGCGTGTGCGTACGCTGCGATACGCAGGCGATGCGCCAGTCGTTGGGTTTCCGTTGTCCGGGTCATGGGACGATGGATCGAGCGACGAGATGGACTGTACTCTCGGCACCTCATTGTCATGGCAAATGGGTTCGTCTTGAGTCCGCAGGACAAAAGGACGGGCACTCGTGTCCCATGTGTAAAAAAGGAGCGCAGTTCGTGTTCGTGTAAGCAGTAGCAGCAACAACCGCCGCCGCTCACCTCTAAAAATGCTACCCCTTTTCTCCACTCGCCACGGGCAAATATATATCATTACTATTATTATACTCCATTCTGCCATCGGTCCTGTCATCCACACCGTTCGCACTGCAGCGTCCTTAAAACTTCCGTCGAGCCATTACCCCGGATGAATACGTCTCTGACCAAGTAATATCATCGTGTAATAACAAAAATACAATAAGTTTATACAAGCATAATATTACATAAGTTTTTCGGACCATAACATAATATTATATATATATATATATATATAATCTATTCGTATTATATAAGTCTCTATTATTTTCGGATGCAATATGTTCGTACATATCCATGAGCGATTTTTTTCACCTCATTATATCCGTTCAATAACCTATATTATCAATAAAATGTATACTCAATTATAAATTATATTATTAAAAATTATATTCTGAATATTTTAATTTTTTTTTTTTTTACTGTAGAAGTTATAATATTTTAAAAGAAGTGTTACACTCGTAAAATTTGTAAATATGATATTATTATAACATAGTAATATAATTAAGTATAATTTTCAATTCAACATAATTTCACAACTATCATTAGTATAAATTAAATATTTATTTAACATATTATAGATTAAAAATTTTTTTTTTGCATTTTTCCGTTTTTCTTTTAACTACACGCATATTATGTTTAGTTATTACTATTATTTTTTTTTTTTTATTATTATCATTACCTATATTTTTTCCACTTAATTTTAATTTTTTGCAAATAATAATTTTCAATGTATTGTAATTCTTTGTAATAATATGACACAAAAAAAATTGATTTGATAAAAATATGAATAACTGTATTTAATAAAATCTATGTGGATTATTTCCAACATTTCTAAAATAATTTTTTTTGAGAGTTACATATACTTTGCTTTAATTTAACCTATTTTATACTAAAACGATTAACAATTATTATTTTCTGATAATATTCAGTTATATTTTAAAAACAAAAAAAAACACTAAAATTATCAATTTTTAATTATTTGAAATTTAGTCTATTATAATAATTATATTGAACTTCATCAAAATTAATTACAACGTGTAATTAAAGAAATATGTACTTATTATAAACAATCAATGCGTTTTTAATACTCTAGTCGTTCAAAAAATAATATTATTTAAAAACTATTTTAAAATTACTGTCTATACTCAATTCTATATTAAGTTATACATAGTAAATAAGTATATATATCAACTTTTAGAATTATTTTTGTTAATTTTTTTTGTGGATACATGAGTATATAATAGTATGTTCTAATAATAATACAAATATGAAATTACTTTAACCGTTAATACATTTTTACGTTTAGTTCAAAGCTAATTATGTTATATTTTCGTAACTATATTTTAACAATGAGATTTTTATTCATATTCAAACTTTAGTGATGTGGGTTCTAACTATTAAAACTATATCTAGGTCGATCACAAATTCTGTGATTATCTTGGACGAAGATATTTATCAAATAATTGTTATTTAAAACTTAGAATTTAATTATAACAATTGGACAAATAGGTAAGTATTTGAGTACACTTTTGATTATTGGATTTAAAATATGTTGACTGATGATTTGACTTTATTATCTTAATTACTATTTCCAAACAATAAATAATTTGTATAATTAATATTAATATAAATAATAATATTTCTTTTTTCTTTTTTTTAAACTATTTCTTTAATATTTACGTAGAGTTATACTACATAGGTAATATAGTTATTTAACATGTTAACATATAACATATAGTTAACATATATTTAACATGTTTATGAAATTAAAATATAATATCATTGTAGGTTTATATATTTCTATCAATAAATAGGTTTAATAAACCAATAATATTATTCTAGTGTTCATGTTAAAAAAATTCCATTCGTTTTTTATATGTATTCCTAATATTATTATTATTATTATTATTAGTATATATATATATATATATACAATATAAATTATTAGTAATTTAGTTATAATTAGTAAGTCAATCCTTTGTTTAATTAATCATATGATAAATTAATGAAATCTGAAAAATATTACCATATAACACGAAAATATTTCTCAAACACTTCTCAAAATTTTCTGTAGAAAAAAAATCTTCATACAAAATATATGTATTGTTCAATCTTTTAATAATTTTCACGTGTTTATTTTCATTCGGGAAAAAACATTCTTTTTAAATCTTAGAAAAAAAACATAGACTTCTAACACAGTCCACAGATATTTTCGAATATTCTGCATCAAATTAAATTACATATCATCCCAACACATTCCACTCATATTATATAATATAAACAATATAAAATAAATATTTTTATATTTTTATTTATAATTATGGTACAACCGATATGAAAATATCTATTAAAACTACGACTATAATAAAATGTATTTATATGTTACGGCGAAAAACGTAACTTCATATACCAATTTCAAATCAATAAGTTATTTTTTTTTTTTTTTTAAAAAGTCTAAAAACAAATTCAAGCGACAGTTAAAAAAAATAAAATATTACTAAGAATTTAATTATAAAACGATGTGATAGGTAGTACAATAATTGTACTATATAATATAATTATTATATTAAATTTTCATAGTAATATGTTAAACAAACTCGAAAGAATCAAAGAGCACAAACATTTTTACTTTGATCAGTTACTATAAAAGTAAATAGTGGCACATTTTAATTGTAATCTGCTATAGATTTACAAGGATATTGTTAGAAATTACAAGAAATTAAAGATAAAAATAACGTTATTTATTTCATATATTGATTATAATTGTTGTAACGACTTGATTTTTTCAAGATACATTATACAAGATACATTATATATATATATATTATAGATGATTATCAAAGTAAAGTGTTGATATACAATGTTTGCTGATTTTCCTTCTGCAATATACTTTTATTATAATGCATATTGTAACATCAACAACATCCACGTTTAATGGACTACATACATTTTTTGTTTTCATTAAATTAATTTATTCACAATCGCCTAATGCATTTAATTAGAAATGCTTCTTAAAAGAAAATGCGTAATTTGAAAGTGGTTTCTTCATTAAAAATAAACTTGTTTGTCTTTCTTTTTTTGCCTAATCAAGCCTAAAAAAAAAATTACCAAATGCCTATTCATGTAAAACCTCTTTAAGTAGCGCTCGTTTTCTTCCATCTATCCCTTACCATTTAAAAAAAAAATACAGGCGAATATTCATTATTCGTCCTATGCTCCAAATGCGTAAATAATATATTCTGTTCGTATATATATTCTTATAGTTTTTATTTAAATATTTTGATTGGATAATTTTTGTTTATTGATTACATAATTATATTGCATGGTCACCCATTTGTAATTATAATATTATACCACAAAAAACATAAGTCAGAAAAATATTATTTTCAATTTTACAAGCCTTTTTAATTTTCACTTATATCATTTGTTTCAATGATTAATAAACTATGTGGATAATCTTCAAAAAACGTATCAATTGAAAAATAACATTTTTTTATGTTTAAAAGTGGTGTTCTCACCAAGTAGCAGGTAACATAATATTCGAATGATTAAATATTTAACATGTTTATTATTGAGTTAACTTTAATTTATACAAAATAAATTATTATATATAATAATTTCATTAAATATTAAATGAAACGTACTTAATTTTTATTGAACTGAACAAAACAGATTATTGTATTTTATGTAATATAAAATTAATCAAATCGAATATAAAAATCAAAATTATAGGGAGATAAATATTAAATAATATTTACCTTCTATAGAAAATTGTACAAATTGCAAAATTTTTGAGGATTATGTCTTCTCTCCCGAAATTATTTATATTACATGGCTGAATGGTTCTCTTTTTATTTATGTTTTTTAATTAGTAAAATGGGATGATGTTTTTAAGTATAAGAATATTATATAGTTTATCTTATAGTATTTTCAATCATCACTAGTTTCATTATTCATAAGACAAGACTTTTTATTAATCTTTGTGATAAAATAATAATTTAACAACTTTAATAAACCACTTAAACTGTAAAAAAGGATTTTTAAAAAAAATATTCATAACACTAACAAATGGATTTATTTAAGACGTAAACTATTACATTAAAGAAAATTTCAATAATATAACAAGAACTGAGATTAAATATGATTCTTTAAATAGGTATATTTTGATGTAATAACTTTAAATTACATTCATAGACAAGACTTAGCTGGTATTCATATACAGTATACAATGTACGATGTAACGTATACTATACATATACAGAAATATAATGAAAACCAAATATCAATCTTATAAGTGCAATATTTCATTGGGAATTCTATCTATTTGATTAGATTACTATTAATTTTTTAATTATCTAATAACGTAATAACAGCGTTTAACAGGTATGACATAAATTCCCGTAAATAGTGTTGCCCACTCAAAATAACGTATAGTTGATATGATGACATATTCTATGCAGAATGTATATTCTGAAATCGAAAGATTATGTACTTGAAGTATATCCTTACAACGTACTAAAAACAAAGTTTGTTTCAGAATTTACAAAAATAAAACGACTATCACCACTTCGTCGAACAACTATCTCATAGTAGTAATACTATAAGATCTTGAGCTAAACTTCAAAGAGACAATTAAACCTTTAATTTGATCCCACACTTTTAAAACGAATTATCCTCCATTCGAAAATTATGTATAGGTCGTAAATACCTTCTGACTAATAGCCTAAATCCAACCAACCGTTCCTACAATCAGTGTTGTATAAATATAATTAATAAATTATCTAGATAAGATAATAGATAATTGACATTAAATTTATCTAGATGAGATAAATAGATTACACTTAAAATATTTATCTAGATCAGGGATTCCCAACCGCTGTGCTGCGGCACATAAGTGTGCCGTGAAATTATTCAGGTGTGCCGTATAATTTTTGTAATTTTAGAATTTTTTAAGCATAACTAAATATAATAATCAAAATTATAATTTATATTTATGATAGTATTGACTTCAAAATTCCCTTGAAAATAAAAAATGATAAAAATGTCCTGATAAAATAGCTATAATATTATATGGGATCCGATACTACCCGATACAGATATTACAAGCAGTTGCGTTGACTTTTATTACATACTAAAATGACTACATAAAACCATAGCCGGTGCTCATTATATTGAAAATTGAGCGCGTGTAATTGTTACGCATTATACTGTATAAGTGTTTTGATCAAGAAATATTGTAAGTTAAATTTAAAAAAAGCGTAAATTAACGGATGGCAGTGATGTTAGTCAAAATGACAACAATTTAAATATTGAAATTAATATTAAGCAATCAGCTTTAATAAGTGATAAA